TGTAATAATTCCCTTTTCTAGTAGATCATTCAGGTGTGCCTTCACCGCCGAGTAGTGACTCGGTGGTAATCTTCGATAAGGTTGCGCCACCGGCTTGTCTTGTAGTAAGGGTATCTGGTGTTTGATTACTTCCGTGTACCCCAAATCACCCTCATACGAGGCAAATACATCCCTGTATTTATTCAGTAATTCATTTAATTTTGGGTCTTCAGTTTCCGGGAATATATATGATCGGCCATCCTTTTTCTTCACCTCGGCCGTCACATTGACCGACCTAATTGTTACTTCATTACTACTGGTATTGATCAGTTCGATGCACTGTGCCGACCTTTGTACCTCGACGTTCTGTGGTACTCCTACCAGAGTGTTAGGCGGTATAAAAATTTCCTCATCCAAAACATTAGCTACCAACCCTTGAACTAGTCCGTTTTCCGCTGATGTGTATGTCCGCAGTAACACGACGCCTGCCCTCAGTGCGGCGCCACATGGTTCTATCATCACATCACCATTCACGCTTCTATCACCAATTTGTAATGTGATTGCCTTGACCGTGTTTGCCGGGACTGCTGTCCTTCCTCTGGTCTTGGCAAACCTGGCCAACTTGGATCCCCGACCTGGTGTGGTCGATCCGACAATATTTGTAAGAAATTCTGGCAACTGGCCAAGAATATTCATGCCCAACAGGCAAGGTATATTTGACACATTTGTCTCTAGGTTGTGTTTCGTAACGAACACCCCAACCTGCTTCAACCTATGTCCTGCCACCACGACATCCGCCAGAAAATAACCACAGTATGGAATGGTTAGTCCATTAGCTGCCGTCAGGCGCATGCCTGTGTCAGACCTCAACCTATGGTCTTTTCCTTTCATCCATTTGGTGTAAAAATTTTCCGTGATTGTCGTCACCTGGGAGCCTGTATCCACAATTGCCTTCACCGCGATGTCCCCAATCGTAATCACCATTTCGGGACAGACTCCCATCATTTTGCTTCTTGGGCCATAACCTCGCCCCTCTGTAGCTTGGCCCTGCCTTACAGAGGACGACCGTTTCCCTGGCAGTACCGTGCCATATGTCCGGGTTGTGAACAAGACAAACAAATTGGTCGACCGTCTGCCGTCCATTGGAGTGATGGCTTGGCAGGACGCGGCCGTCCAACCCGTCCCTGTTTTGTACCGTTCTTTTCCTGATTCTCAGCTGTTGACCTGCTTTCCAACCACTTCAAGCGTTGGTCAACCTTCTCTAGGTGGGCCAACAGTTGAGCCATCATGGTCTCCATCGTGTCGGCCCCTGTGGGTGGGGATTGTCTCTGTTCAGGCACAGAGACTTTGTCCACCGAACAGTTCGATTGGTCCTCATCCTCGGACCTGCGGATCGCTGAGTTCCTGACCTGAAGGAAGGTCAACTGCTGGTCTCTGTGGACCTCCTCCTTCAACTCTCTCCTTAAGATCGGGGTTGCTAGCCCCTCGATGAAATGGTCCCTCAGTAGGCGTACATCAATGTCCGGTGATTTGCCCTTTACCAAATCAAAGGCCCTGTTCATCCTGTGTGAGTACTCCATCACACTCTCCGCCATTCTCTGCTTTAAGCCCACGAATCCCGATAGCAGTTGCACTCCCGACCGTCTCTCCCCAAAGGTCTCCATAATCAGATCTAGCACCTTATCTGGATCTGATTGGACGGTCCTATCGTGGCACTTAACCTCTGCCCTAACCGTTTCACCTATACTGCCCATCAGCAGTCTTAATCTTTCCTCTGGTGACATATGTCTCGAGGCCCAGGCCGCTTTGACCTCTTCACTGAACCTGTTGGTTAAAGTTGGATCTCCGTCCCCGTAAAATTTGTTAATATGGGACTCTCTGGGTAGGACCACTATATGGGTCTGCTTCTCGTCCAGAGTAGACATTTTCTTCCTTAAGTACTAAAAAAAAGAGTTCTTTCTTACCGTGTGTGTATGAAAAATTTTTCCTCGTTCCTCAATTTTCACAGTTCCTGAATGTCCGAATTCACACACACACTAAACACAGTTATGCACAAGGTTGACTATAGGTGCCTTAAACGGCAAGTCTAGTTGAATTCATCCTGATCGCAGCGCCAATTGTGACGAGCGAACATTTATCCTGCCGACAACGCCAATTGTAACGAGCCAACAGTTACCATGCTCGCAACGCCACATGTAATGAGACCTAATTGCCTGTAGTGCCACGTGTTAACGAGTTCAACCACTCATTCTAGACAACATTGACCACAGTATAGATACTCAAGATGCAGGTTCGCTATTGATCCTTTATTACATGAATCAAGAAATGCTTCATAATAACACAATAAATCAACAGGAATGCTTCTCAATAATAGTCTGAATCAACTGACCCCTAACAGTCCTTCACTAGGCTTTATATAACTGAATCCACATGTCTATAATCCTCCTTAACACAATACGGCTAACCCGTTCTATAACCGACTTGACATAGTCACACAGACTGACTGATCTAAGCGAGCGATGAAGATGGAAGAGAGCTCGCTGAAACGGGAAGAGAGAGAGAACGAGTCCTGCCGTGCCCTCCTATTTATGCCTTGTATCCGTACTCGTCTCTGTACTTGTATTCCTCCGTAATCGATACTTGTACTCGATCTCCGACCACCAGTTGCGTAGTTCAAACGTACAGACCGTAAAATAACATCTGCGTCCTATCCATCAAAGTTGACAGGCCGTCTGAATACCGTTTCCCAAAATAGCACGCGCCGGCTTTGAGGTTGTTATCAGCCCGACCCAATAAGCCACCTGCTATGTTGCGTCAGACTAATACCGCGTCTCAGCCTCTCGTTCGTTATCATTTGTAACTGGTAGTTAGGCCTACCCCAGTTACATATATATATATATATATATATATATATATATATATATATATATATATATGTGTGTGTGTGTGTGTGTGTGTGTGTGTGTGTGTGTGTGTGTGTGTGTGTGTTTGAAAAGAAAAAACACTGTAGTGATCAAATGTACATGAACGCCCTGGTTTACGTGACGTCATCAGGTGTATCTCGTTAGCTCGTAAAATCTGGTGCTTTCCGCCAAAACATCATGGGATTTCTGTGTGGGCCCCACCAAAACATCATGGGATTTCTGTGTGGGCCCCACCAAAACATCATGGGATTTCTGTAAGGGCCCCACCAAAACATCATGGCATTTCTGTGTGGGCCCCACCAAAACATCATGGCATTTCTGTGTGGGCCCCACCAAAACATCAAGGATTTCTGTGGTGTATAATTGAAATGGAAATAGTTTCAACATTTTGGATTTAGGTACATGGACACCGATGGCTGATTCTGTGTCTCTATGACAGCGCTTCAGTGTCAGACGTGTCAGATGGTAAGTTGTGGCCAGACTTGTCAGATGGTAAGTTGCGGCCACACAATGTAACCCACTTGGCCAGACTTGTGAGATGGTAAGTTGTGGCCACACAATGTAACCCACTTGGCCAGACTTGTGAGATGGTAAGTTGTGGCCACACAATGTAACCCACTTGGCCAGACTTGTCAGATGGTAAGTTGCGGCCACACAATGTAACCCACTTGGCCAGACTTGCCAGATGGTAAGTTGCGGCCAGACAATTGGTAAGTTGTGGCCACACAATGTAACCCACTTGGCCAGACTTGTCAGATGGTAAGTTGCGGCCACACAATGTAGTCCACTTGGCCAGACTTGCCAGATGGTAAGTTGTGGCCACACAATTGGTAAGTTGTGGCCACACAATGTAACCCACTTGGCCAGACTTGTCAGATGGTAAGTTGCGGCCACACAATGTAGTCCAATTGGCCAGACTTGCCAGATAAAAAAGTTGCGGCCACTGGCTGACCACTCACGGTAGGCTCAACTTCCATCTTTACTCCACACGACTGTCATGTTTACTCCACACGACTGTCATGGTCTCATGATATTAGCACAGATTAGTTGACGTCACCAGATCACCTGGCTAACTGACGTTACAAGATCACCTTGGGGGTCATCCATAAATGACGTCACGCTTTTTTGACGATTTTTACCTCCCCCCCCCTCCCCTCCGTCACACGTCGTCACAAAAAGCCAGACCCCCTCCCCCTAAAATGACGTCACACTTCAACCTACAACCCCCCTCAAAATTGCAGTTAAATTAAAAAAAAACATCGATATTTTTCCAAAATCTTGTCTAAACTATTACAATTTATTGAAACAGTTATCTAAAACGCGAAATAACGTCTAAAATTCGTTTTCTAACATTGCTTTTTTATAATGCTAAAATGTGACGTCGCAACATCTGACCCCCCCCCCCTCCCCCTCATCACACATCGTCACAAAATTACGGACCCCCCCCTCCCCCCTACGAGTGTGACGTCATTTATGGATGACCCCTTGCCTATTGATGTCACCACATGGTCAATTGGTGACCCAGATCACCTGGTCAATTTTCACGACCCATAATAATCTAAATCAAAAATATGATTATACCATTCGTATTCAATACATGTGATATGACAAAGATAGACGACAGAGGTGAAGGTCATATGATCTCTGTTGCCATGGCGCATGAAAGTGTCATCAGGATTAATTAGTGCATTTAATTGGAGCTGCTATATAAATCCAGCCGTAAATCGACAGCATCCTAATTTGTGTGTACGTTCTTACATTGTTTAAAAGGCACCTTCTTAAATCTTATGACCTAGATCTAAATTACGTCTGTTAAAATCAGAAATTTAATTTAGCCAAGCTACTTTTTTTCTTCTAAGGGGTGAAAAAAAAACATTAAAAAACCAACGTTTTATTTCTTCCTTGCTTTAAAATAGACACACAGCTGAATAAAAATCAAGCGTCAAGGTCATAGTACCACTTTGCCGTCTACCTGGTGTGTTCAATCCTCAAGCAGAATATCTGATTGGGCTGAGTTAAGAAATGATATGTCTCCGTAGATTTGAGAGAATCGCGAGCCGTTAAGAATATGACGTAAACGAGTCTGTCACGTGATCGCAACCCATCGATAGGTTCACTAAGACTGTCAGTGCGTCACTTTCAAGATGGCGGCACAGGGATCTCAGTCCAAGACTGGAGGAAAAAATCCCGGAGAATTAGTTAGGGGACAGACCTTTGAAGTCGGCCCAAGATATACGAATTTGACGTACATTGGAGAAGGAGCATACGGAATGGTCGTGTAAGTTGAGTGCTTTTATCGACATGTATTTAAATAGATTCAGGCTTCCGCGTTCCTTTTCTATGACCGATGTCGACCCGGTGACGTCCCCTTTCTTTGGCTTGTTCTGCTAGAAAAATCATTTGAGCCCACCATCTGTAAACAAAAATACAAAATACGTTGATATAAAGTATAAACCAAGTATCATTGTTTACATTTAATATATTTTAGGCACTCCAAACATACATTTGTTATTAGTCTACAAATAAGACTCACGTTGAAGAAGATAAAATTGACAAAAAAAAGTGGACTGCCTTCATTTTTTTTTTCAATCATTCTAGATTTCCAGACTTAACTAAGAGTTAAGACTTTTATTAATAGTTCACTAGATCTAGAATAATCTAGATCTAATTACTAATTTGAAATTTACTAAATTTAATTTAGTTAATATCGTTTTAGGTACTTGAAATTGGCCGAGACTTGAATCTAGATCTAGTAATGTGAAAAAAAAGAGACTCATTAAATTTTAGTAGGCCAACATTTTTTCACCTTTTTAAGTAATTTAAGAGGATTTATTCTAGATTCTAGATCTGAATATGTTTTGAAAGCTACACAAGTGACAAATGTTTCAAAGTTTCTTTCATGTAGATTCTACCTGTTTTAAAATAGTTGTATTAAAACTTTTTAGTATGTAGGCCCTAATAAATAAAGACGAGAAATGTTTTCTTCAGATGCAACCAAGCTCATTTACTTTAGCAGTCATCTTAAGTTTTTTTTTTGGTAAAATTATAGTTAGAGATTCAGGGGAAACCACTCTAATTTACAGATGGCCGCTGTTAATAGAGCAAATCTTTCTCCCACACTGCAGTTTAAAGTTGATCTCTTGCCTATATTATTATTGATATATTAAGACATTGTTTTTGGTTTATTATTCAGTTATCTCTAATATTTGACACAAATATATCACAATGTAATTCTATTAAAGCCTTAACATTAACAATGAGGACACTTTTTTTCACATTATTAGCCTCGGCCGATATGAGTGAATGCTACATTATAGCCATGTAGGAAAATTGTTACTATGTTAGTATTTTTAAGTGGCATATCATTTTCTGTCCTTATAATTTGCTTCCACTGTTGTACATCCGTATTTTAAATTTGAAATATTAAAACAACCAGGTGTACCATTAGTAAAAACCTGGGTTGATATTTACGAATTAATGCCCTGCTGAATCTCCAACCAATCATCATAATTCCTAGTGGTCTTCAATCTACTAGAGAAGTCCAGAAGAGGTTTCAATGCTTCAATTGCACCACAAGCTTTGTTAAAATCCCAAAATAAAACCTCCCTTACATAAGCCATGCTACTTAACAAAGAGTTATGTTGCATAAATGTTCCTTCATTACACAAAAGTTAGATTTTCTGCAATTTTCAAATCAGTTATTTCAAAACTATTATTATCGATATTTATCTAAGTGATCAGTTAAAATTTTGTTTTAATTGATAAAATAGTGCTTGTTATTTTTATGTGGTAGACTTGAACATAAGTTTTTGTACTTTTAAGCTTTGTCTGCATTTTTTGGTTGTATAAATGATGCCTAATTAATTAACTAAATGTGCTAGCTATATTACAAAAGCCTGCAAGTTGTATTAGTTCTATGGCTATTAGTCAATTTCTTAATAAATCTACCCAATCTAAAGCAAGTATAAGTCTGGTTAGGGCCAGAACATGTTGGAAGCCTCTTATACTTTGTTGCTAAAGTCTGGTTAGGGCCAGAACATGTTTGATTCCTAAATGTTGGAAGCCTCTTATACTTTGTTGCTAAAGTCTGGTTAGGGCCAGAACATGTTTGATTCCTAAATGTTGGAAGCCTCTTATACTTTGTTGCTAAAGTCTGGTTATTTTATTTTTCTGTTTGTAGACAATCATGTCAGACTTAGCAGCCGTAAGTAAGCAGCATTTTCACTGTCAGGCACCAACAGAGGCTGAGGTCAACTGGGGCAAAAGTTTGCAACATTTGATGTGCTGCAGTTGTTGTCAGTTCAGATCATTTCTAGGTTATAGGAAGTCATTGATGTTATGACACACTTGGGACAAAAGTCTGCAACATTTGATGTGCTGCAGTAGTTGTCAGTTCAGATTATTGCTAGGTTATAGGAGTACACTGAAGTTGCTTTTCAATTGCAGGTCAGCTACAGACAATCACACAAAACAGAAAGTTGCCATTAAAAAGATCTCACCCTTTGAACATCAAACTTACTGTCAGAGAACGTTGAGAGAGATCAAGATCTTGACACGGTTTAAACATGAAAATGTAAGTATTCACACATTACTTTCTTGTTGCTATGGCCTCAGTTTGGTTTGGATTTGACCAGCTTTTTAAGATGGTGTTGAGGTTTTAAAACCTTTAATATACATGTTTAAAAAGTATCTATGTTTAGAGTTCTACAATACATATTTGTTTTGTTTTTTAAAATGCTAAGTTTGCTGTTGGATTATTTTAAAATAGTAACTCTGTGTTGTTTTTACATTACCCCTAACAAATGTTCAACCTTCTAATATTATCTTTGCTGTTAAGCCAGATTATTTTAAGTTGGTTAAATATTTTTTATATTATTTTGCTTCCACTGTAAAATATTTTGGGTATCATATAACTTTGAGCATGGGCATGAAACCCATTAAAAACCAGTTGAATGCTTTTTTTATGTTGCGCAAACTTTGACATTTTTTTTTATTGAAGAGTTCAGATGAAAGTTTACAGAAATCTTAGGATAATATGGATTATTTCATAATCAAATTCCATTTTTAAAATTACCTGACATATAAAAGTTGGTGTTGTTTAGGTTTTTTTGGTCAAGATTAAGGTTCTATAGAACTGAATTATGTAAAAAAAATTCAGAAATATGAAATGATTTGTCCTTGTTAAATTTTTGTAAAAGGCCATGGTTAAAGTGTGTGTTTTAAATGTTTGTGATTTTCAGTCTACTCATATTTAAAAGTTCAAATATTTTCAATGATTTATCTTTGGCATCTGAACTCTTCAGTTGGTTTTAATTTTTCTTTTTATCCTTTTTTTCCCCTCCTACAGTTTCAACATGAAAATGTAAGTTTATTTCTCTTCATGTTACCCACATCACTCACACACTAGGCTGCTCAACTTTAGCAATATTTGCTTCTTGCTTATTCACTTGACCTAGCATTGGTCAGTAGATTTTAACCACTACATCATCATGAACATGTCTTAAATGATTAAACAATTACCTTAGACCATGTCTAGTGGAGGTTTATCAAAGTTTGAATACCAACGGAATAAATATCTAGGTGATAATTACTAAAGCTAATAATGATTCATTAAGTACATTGCTTCTAACAAATGCTTTCTAAGAATGTTAAAAAAAAAATCTCAACACGAAAAATATAAAATTTAGCATGTATATTACTTATGGCTAATTAACCCTTTTTTCTTTGCATACAGTAAACAAATGAATTTTTTTTTAGTGTATGAAATGTTTTAAGCTATTATGGTATATCTGTTGGTTTTTGTTTAAACAGAAAGAGAAAGAATAGTTAAATATAAGTGTGTGTGTATTAGCTGAATGATCTTGGTGCAGTATTTAAGTTAAATAGATATGTATGTGTGGTACCTTCATTTGATAGGTGCAACTTTTGTTTGAATAGATATGTATGTGTGGTACCTCCATTTGATGGGTACAACTTTTGTTTGAATAGATATGTATGTGTGGTACCTCCATTTGATAGGTGCAACTTTTGTTTGAATAGATATGTATGTGTGGTACCTCCATTTGATGGGTGCAACTTTTGTTTGAATAGATATGTATGTGTGGTACCTCCATTTGATAGGTGCAACTTTTGTTTGAATAGATATGTATGTGTGGTACCTCCATTTGGTGGGTGCAACTTTTGTTTGAATAGATATGTATGTGTGGTACCTCCATTTGATGGGTGCAACTTTTGTTTGAATAGATATGTATGTGTGGTACCTCCATTTGATGGGTGCAACTTTTGTTTGAATAGATATGTATGTGTGGTACCTCCATTTGATGGGTGCAACTTTTGTTTGAATAGATATGTATGTGTGGTACCTCCATTTGATGGGTGCAACTTTTGTTTGAATAGATAGGTATGTGTGGTACCTCCATTTGGTGGGTGCAACTTTTGTTTGAATAGATATGTATGTGTGGTACCTTCATTTGATGGGTGCAACTTTTGTTTCTATTTCAGATCATAGACATTAGAGACATCTTGCGTGCTCCTACAGTAGAAGAGATGAAAGATGTGTATCTTTTGGGTCAATACAAAATGTTTAGTTAGTGGGTCAATACAAAATGTTTAGTTAGTGGGTCAATACAAAATGTTTAGTTAGTGGGTCAACACAAAATGTTTAGTTAGTAGCCACTAGTACTTTAAAGCAGCTAAAAGTAAACAACAGAGTTAAATTATTTTTTTTTACACACTACCTGATTTCATCATAATTTAAATCAAATACTTTTATAAATAGAAAGTTGATCAGTGAACATCCACTTGTTTAGAAGAGTAGATGTCCAGAGCAATAGAAAGTAGATCATTAGCTAACATCCACTTGTTTAGAAGAGTAGGTCTAGCCACAGAAAGTAGATCATTAGCTAACATCCACTTGTTTAGAAGAGTAGATGTCTAGAGCCACAGAAAGTAGATCATTAGCTAACATCCACTTGTTTAGAAGAGTAGATGTCCAGAGCAATAGAAAGTAGATCATTAGCTAACATCCACTTGTTTAGAAGAGTAGGTCAATAGCCACAGAAAGTAGATCATTAGCTAACATCCACTTGTTTAGAAGAGTAGGTCAATAGCCACAGAAAGTAGATCATTAGCTAACATCCACTTGTTTAGAAGAGTAGATGTCTAGAGCCACAGAAAGTAGATCATTAGCTAACATCCACTTGTTTAGAAGAGTAGGTCTAGCCACAGAAAGTAGATCATTAGCTAACATCCACTTGTTTAGAAGAGTAGATGTCTAGAGCCACAGAAAGTAGATCATTAGCTAACATCCACTTGTTTAGAAGAGTAGATGTCTAGAGCAATAGAAAGTAGATCATTAGCTAACATCCACTTGTTTAGAAGAGTAGATGTCCAGAGCAATAGAAAGTAGATCATTAGCTAACATCCACTTGTTTAGAAGAGTAGATGTCAATAGCCACAGAAAGTAGATCATTAGCTAACATCCACTTGTTTAGAAGAGTAGGTCAATAGCCACAGAAAGTAGATCATTAGCTAACATCCACTTGTTTAGAAGAGTAGGTCAATAGCCACAGAAAGTAGATCATTAGCTAACATCCACTTGTTTAGAAGAGTAGGTCAATAGCCACAGAAAGTAGATCATTAGCTAACATCCACTTGTTTAGAAGAGTAGGTTAATAGCCACAGAAAGTAGATCATTAGCTAACATCCACTTGTTTAGAAGAGTAGGTCAATAGCCACAGAAAGTAGATCATTAGCTAACATCCACTTGTTTAGAAGAGTAGGTCAATAGCCACAGAAAGTAGATCATTAGCTAACATCCACTTGTTTAGAAGAGTAGATGTCTAGAGCCACAGAAAGTAGATCATTAGCTAACATCCACTTGTTTAGAAGAGTAGATGTCTAGAGCCACAGAAAGTAGATCATTAGCTAACATCCACTTGTTTAGAAGAGTAGGTCAATAGCCACAGAAAGTAGATCATTAGCTAACATCCACTTGTTTAGAAGAGTAGGTCAATAGCCACAGAAAGTAGATCATTAGCTAACATCCACTTGTTTAGAAGAGTAGATGTCTAGAGCAATAGAAAGTAGATCATTAGCTAACATCCACTTGTTTAGAAGAGTAGGTCAATAGCCACAGAAAGTAGATCATTAGCTAACATCCACTTGTTTAGAAGAGTAGGTCAATAGCCACAGAAAGTAGATCATTAGCTAACATCCACTTGTTTAGAAGAGTAGGTCAATAGCCACAGAAAGTAGATCATTAGCTAACATCCACTTGTTTAGAAGAGTAGGTCAATAGCCACAGAAAGTAGATCATTAGCTAACATCCACTTGTTTAGAAGAGTAGATGTCTAGAGCCACAGAAAGTAGATCATTAGCTAACATCCACTTGTTTAGAAGAGTAGATGTCCAGAGCCACAGAAAGTAGATCATTAGCTAACATCCACTTGTTTAGAAGAGTAGATGTCTAGAGCCACAGAAAGTAGATCATTAGCTAACATCCACTTGTTTAGAAGAGTAGGTCAATAGCCACAGAAAGTAGATCATTAGCTAACATAACTTGTTCCTTGACTGAGCTCAGTTACATAGTACAATGTCTGATGGAGACTGACATGTACAAACTTTTAAAGACACAACAGTTAAGCAATGACCATGTCTGCTACTTCCTGTACCAGATCCTCCGAGGCTTGAAATACATCCACTCTGCTAATGTACTGCACCGGGATCTCAAGCCAAGCAACCTACTTCTCAATACTACGTGTGATCTCAAGGTACCTCCTCTCTTGTATTGGTTTTAACCTACTTCTCAACACTACATGTCATCTCAAGACTATTTTACTTTTCACTACAACAAAAAACTCCCATCCACTTGTATACTATCTATATGAGAAGAATAGACCGTGTTAAACAAATCCAACTTGTATACTAATTGTATGAGAAGAATAGACCATGTTAAACATCTTATGTGATGTCTTGTTGTCTCAACAGATCTGTGATTTTGGTCTGGCTAGAGTAGCTGACCCTGACCACGACCACACTGGCTTTCTGACTGAGTACGTGGCCACCAGATGGTACAGGGCACCAGAGATCATGCTCAACTCTAAGGGCTACACTAAGTCAAGTATCCTTTGACTGGTTTAGTTTATTTATCTTACACAACCATACTTCTAATGAAAGCCAATTGTTTTTTTCCTTAACAAAGCTACAGTTGATGTTTGGTCTGTAGGCTGTATCCTGGCAGAGATGTTGGCTAATCGTCCATTATTTCCTGGCAAACATTGTATCCTTTTTGGTGTCATACCAGTTGAGTTGGGATAGACAACAAACTAAGGAAGATACTGAAGGGATTCAACAGAGCAAAACTTGTGATAAATTGCTCTACACTGATTCTAGTGTGGTGGGTCAAGCTAACTAGAAGTAAAACAAGCTGATCCATGTGGGGGTGGTAGGGATATGCCTAGAGAAAGAGAGGGGGCTGCTAGGCGTGCTTACAGCTTGGTGTTTTCTATGGTCTCTATGAAGAGAATTATATATATAGATACCTTTTTGTATCCATTAGTCCCTTCATTAGAGGTATCACAGTTGTGATTTTGAGGTCAGCTGTTGCCCCTCACAGTTGTGATTGTGGGGTCAGCTGTTGCCTCTCACAGTTGTGATTGTGGGGTCAGCTGTTGCCTCTCACAGTTGTGATTGTGGGGTCAGCTGTTGCCTCTCACAGTTGTGATTGTGGGGTCAGCTGTTGCCTCTCACAGTTGTGATTGTGGGGTCAGCTGTTGCCTCTCACAGTTGTGATTGTGGGGTCAGCTGTTGCCTCTCACAGTTGTGATTGTGGGGTCAGCTGTTGCCTCTCACAGTTGTGATTGTGGGGTCAGCTGTTGCCTCTCACAGTTGTGATTGTGGGGTCAGCTGTTGCCTCTCACAGTTGTGATTGTGGGGTCAGCTGTTGCCTCTCACAGTTGTGATTGTGGGGTCAGCTGTTGCCTCTCACAGTTGTGACACAATCAGCGCCATGCACTCATATCTTCAACTTAGCAGTTGTGTATTCTACTACTGAACCATGCTTTTCCTCTAGAGCTACTACATGCTTAAGCTCATTCAAAAACTTTGAAAAACCTACAACATTGGCCCTTGGTGTCAAAGTACTTTTTGTCACATTCTCTCCCCCCCCCCCCCGCAGAAGAGTGAGTCTTACATTAAAAAAATGAATCTATAGTAAATACTGCAATTAGATTAAAAATTGTAACGCTCTCCTATTTTGATCCAAGTAAAGTAATGTATAGTTGTACCTCAAATGAAAGCTTATTTTCATAGTTAAACTGCATTATTAAGTTTGAGGTGGTAGACTTTTGTCTTGTAAACCAAAGTTTGCTTGAAATGTCTTAACCAGCTGTTTAGACCTGGACCAGCTGAACCACATACTTGGTGTCCTGGGTTCACCTAGCCAAGATGACTTACAGTGTATCATCAATGACAAGGTGACTAGCCCCTTCTTTTTTCACATTGACTAGTCAACCTAGCTGCTTTTGCTGTAACCCAACCTGTCTTTTGGTTTCAGGCAAGGGGATACATCCAGTCTCTACCTTACAAGCCCAAGGTTCCATGGCAAAAGTTGTTCCCTAATGCAGATGTCAAAGGTGAGTTGATACCCTCCTACACTTGGCTACCTGTGCTTTATTAGAATGGTCTGTGGTCTTGCCTTGATCATTGGAAGTCTGGTCTTGCATGGAAGATATCTCTATTAATATGAAAGCTACATCTAGATCTACTCTTTATTTTTCAAGAAAAATGGTCTAAAAGTTTAAATCATAAAATAATTATGCAAGGGAATGTTTATACTTATTTAAAAAATGATCTGGGTGTGGGTAAAATGCAAGACAAGAAAGGGCGAGACATAGCTGCTGTGGAATTATGGGTAAAAATAGCAAGACATAATTTATCGAAGCATGTTGTTTGAGATGTGTGAGAAGAAAAGTTTTTACTGAACAACTAGATCTAGGCTCATTAAGATAAATCACGGATCGTATGATTTTAAAAACTTTTTCTACTAGATATTATCTAAATCTAGATTTAAAAAAAAAATGCAACAAGACACATGCTAATTCTAAACATCGTCACTTGTGCCATCTGCCTCTCACGTTTTCTTGTGAGCTGGGAAAAAAATCCTGCCACGATCGAGGGGTCACTGAGTTCACATTGGTTTAGATATCTGTACCCATAGTATAGGCCTATAGCATACGTCATACTACTCATAGCAAGAGCAATTCCTATTATCGCCTTACATGCTGAGTTTACATGCTGAATTTCGCGCTGTTTTTTTTTTTAATTAGTCAATTTCTTTGAAATAAAAAGTAGATTGCGCAACTAACGTCGCCCATTGTCATCATTACGCTATTAAGTTTTGTGTTAATATAAAATTGGTCTTATTTAAATTGTATTAAAAATGTAAAGAAATACTGAAAGTTACTGACAGTATCCAATTATTACGGAAAAATCTATGCTCATCTTACGGGGTAGGCATCCCTGTACATGTGGGTAGAGGTGCTAGCCCCCATACCTGGCTACCTAAGGGTAGAAGTGCTAGCCCCCATACCTGGCTACCTAAGGGTAGAGGTGCTAGACCCCACACCTGGCTACCTAAGGGTAGAGGTGCTAGCCCCCATAACTGGCTACCTAAGGGTAGAGGAGTTGGCCCCCGTACCAGGCTACCTGTGAGTAGAGGTGCTAGCCCCCATACCTGGCTACCTGTGAGTAGAGGTGCTAGCCCCCATACCTGGCTACCTGTGAGTAGAGGTGCTAGCCCCCATACCTGGCTACCTGTGAGTAGAGGTGCTAGCCCCCATACCTGGCTACCTGTGAGTAGAGGTGCTAGCCCCCATAAATGGCTACCTAAGGGTAGAGGAGTTGGCCCCCGTACCAGGCTACCTGTGAGTAGAGGAGCTATTCTCATACCTGGCTACCTGTGGGTAGAGGTGCTAGCCCCCATACCTGGCTACCTAAGGGTAGAGGAGTTGGCCTCCGTACCAGGCTACCTGTGCTACACAAGAGTAATAGACTGCTTTTGTTTCACTTCAACAGCCCTTGACCTTCTAGAGAAAATGTTGACATTTAACCCTAACAAGAGGATAACAGTGGAGCAAGCACTTGCACATCCATACTTGGAACAATACTATGACCCTGCTGATGAGGTGAGCACTACTTGTGTGTACATGTGTGGTAGGTTGGTGGTAGCTGTGTGTACATGTGAGGTAGGTTGGTGATAGCTTTGTGTACATGTGTGGTAGGTTGGTGGTAGCTGTGTGTACATGTGTGGTAGGTTGGTGATAGCTGTGTGTACATGTGTGGTAGGTAGGTTGGTGGTAGCTTTGTGTACATGTGTGGTAGGTAGGTTGGTGGTAGCTGTGTATATGCATGGTAGGTTGGTGGTAGCTGTGTGTAAGTGTGGTAGGTTGGTGGTAGCTGTGTGTACATGTGTAGTAGGTTGGTGATAGCTTTGTGTACATGTGTGGTAGGTTGGTGATAGTTTTGTGTACATGTGTGGTAGCTGTATGTACATGTGTGGTAGGTTGGTGATAGCTTTGTGTACATGCGTGGTAGCTGTATGTACATGTGTGGTAGGTTGGTGATAGCTTTGTGTACATGCGTGGTAGCTGTATGTACATGTGTGGTAGCTGTGTGTACATGTGTGGTAGGTTGGTGATAGCTTTGTGTACATGTGTGGTAGCTGTATGTACATGTGTACATGTAACCACTCTACAGCCAGTAGCAGAAGAGCCATTCACATTTGAAATGGAGCTGGATGATTTACCTAAAGAAAGGCTTAAAGAGCTCATTTTCCAAGAAACAGTCCAGATTGGTGTCAGAAACAGAGAATGACTTCTCACTCCAGCCAGGTAGGCAAGTTATTTAAATCTTGGGTACAGGTGTACTGTAAATATAGATTTTAGTTGTTTATTGAGGTTTCTAACGGTGATTGGAATAATTGTGGTTGTAGTTTGATTTGGAATAATTGTGGCTGTAAATATGTTTGATTGTGATTGGAATAATTGTAGCTGTAAATAGATTGTGATTGAAATAATTGTAGCTGTAAATAGTTTGATTATGATTGGAATAATTGTAGCTGTAGATGATTTGTTTCTCCCCAGTGTAAAGAGTTGAGTGTGTGTAGCTTGAGCTGGTGACTGTACATATCACTGTCAATGGTAGGCCAGAGCCCAGCCATGTGTAGCCTCCATCAGATGTACACCAGCAAGACTTGTTGAAGACAGGCTCATGTTTTGTTTGATGTGGTTCTATAGTTCATGTGCTAAAAGTTCACTCCTTTACCCATGCTGCCAACATGCGCTCTTGGTAGAAACATATCTATTCTCTCTTTCCTTCTAGAGCAAGTCTTTAGAAGGGAGGCTACAATTTTCCCCATCTTGTACAAATTTAGGTCTGAAAATTCCAAGGCTATTTATCTCTCAATAACTAGGTATGCATGCATATACCCAGCAGATGAACACACTGCTGGATTAGATTTGAAGCACACATTTTATAAGGCCAAATGTTGCTTTGGATGATTAGTTTTTCATGACCAGTTTTGACTAGCAATTGCTTCAATAATTTACTCTTTGTTCAACATTTTATTGCTGTTTCCAAACTCTCATTCAATGTGGACGTTTTTTTAAATAGTTAAACTTTGCACAATACATTCTTTGTAAAATAAGATGACTTTAAATGTTAGTTTTGATGAAAATACATTTTGTTAATAATTACCTCAGTTTTTTACAACTGTATGTAGACTATACATAATTATTTACAAACATTGACATTTGTTCTGTTAAAGAACATTTTGTTCATAATTACATAGCAGAAGGACTATCTGGCCAAAATTTATTTGAATCATGTATTTTTTATTTTAGGGCATTGGGTTGTTTTATTTTTTGATAGAAAAATGATTCTGTTAATAGTTTATTTGTTGAATAGAATACTTTTGACACAACTTTTGTTACAAGCACCAAAACTTAGTTTATCTCAGTGCCATATTCTATACATAGGATTTGTTTCACAAGGCTATTTAAGAACTAGTAGAAGTTAGGGGAGACCACCCAAGTATAAGATTCCTCTACATAATCAAAGTGCCAAGCCCACACTTATCTCCCTAAATTGTGGCACACATGTAATGTCTTCTTCTATAGAATCTTTGTTGCCATAAGTAGTAACACATCTTTATTTACAAGTTACATTTCTCTACTTTTTGCAAGCTTTACAATTTTTGCTGGAAATTAAAAAATAAATTAAATTTAAAAAATAGTTACAGTTGCAATGTATTTCACCAGTTGAATGTAGGATTGTTTCCTACCACTGTTGTTTCTCTATAGGTTTTTTTAAAAAAAATAAACCTACAACTACTTAGCTCCAGTGACATTTCTAGTCACTGGATGCATAGCTTGACAAACTCAACCAGTGCTGGCTAGCAGGACTGGCTGACGTGATGAACCCTTGGTTTGAGTTACTTGAAGTAACTGCCTGTTGTTTTATTAGTTCTGTGATTATCTTTTGGTGGTGCCCAGCCAGAAAAATCATTTATTTTTGTATTCATAATTTAATCGTCCCCCTTTTTGTGTTTATCAGTGATGTAGATATTCTAAACAAGTGTATATTCATTACCCTCATTCATTTCATCTAGATATTCATAACTTGTCTCCTAAACATCTGAGTGTTTTGCTTTCTACCAGTTCAGGTTGCTTTTTCATATCTCTCCATACAAAAATACACATGCATAAACCATCAATATTTTCCCCTATTTGGTGTAATCTGTAAATGAAACATGTATACAATTTATATCCCAAAACTGAAAAAAAAAAGTGTTGTGCTTACTGTTTGCTGATATGGTGCGCATTGACAGCCTGTGACAGGATGTGTAGAGCATGACTGGTGGTGTTTTTATTTCTTACATTTTTTTACTTAATTACTATAGACCAATTTAGTGTTCTGGCTGCTTGTGTCACTTACAAATCTTTTACTACTTCATTTACATAAAAAAAATATTAAGGTGATTTTTCTCAAGTAAAGATTTCTAAATTTGATTTTTTGTATCTGAGAATATTTTTATTCTATTGATGTATGAAGCATTCCGCAACCAAGCCATAATTTATAAATGTGCCATTAAAATTTTCTCAGTCCTTCTCCCACACTGGCATAGGAGTTCCTTGACTTTGTTATTGAATAAATACTCTAGTATAGTGCTGCATTACTTGTAACATTGCTTCATTAGAAATTGTATGCTTTTGTACATATTTTTTAAAAGTATAGTCACATTTAAATGACATAACTGGAACTGTTAAGTGTTCACATACTTAACCGACTTAGTGTCATTTAAGGTCGTATTACTGTAACAATTTTGTCATTTCAAATTTTTTTTTTTAGTTAAATGTAATGTATGCTAGTGACTAACTGAATGCTAAATGCTGGGCTGTGAATAAATGACAAATGCTTTGCTGTATGTCCTTTTTTTTTACTCAAGCTTTTAGTTTGATACATTTTGTAGGCAGGGTCTCTTTACCCAAATACCTTTAAAAAAAAATTTTCTCGCTCTCAAAATTCACAGTAATTTCTCACTGTAATACAATAGAAGTTCCAAATTCCAGCAGACTAATGTATTAGTAATGGCCATTGGTTGTAGCATGAGAGTTTTTCTGTGTAAGCTGCAGGTGTTACCAGCTTAATGTTGTATTACTTCTGTCTGTCATTTGATACAAATAACATGGACTCATTTTACATTACCGCCATTGCTTTACATTTCAGCCACAAATCTTTATATATTCTTTTTATTGTGTTCAACACCAAGAATAAAATTTAATATCAATTATTCCAATTTATGGCTTGCTTTTGGATTTGATGAACTAAGTAGGATACTTTAATTCAAATCATATCAATTGGTTCACTGGTAAACCATATTAACCATGTGAGCTAGAGGAAAATAAAGTATTGAGTGGCAGTCTATGAACTTTGACCCAGACTCCAGCACATTTCCTTAGATCAATTTAGAATTTGAACAGATGCCAGCCACACCTGAATAAACCTTCTCTAGTTGCTGTTGCTATGATGGCACCATTTGCTTCTCTCAGCACCAGTGTGGCCTAGGTTTCCTCTGGCTTCCAGCTATTGTGCTGCTCCTAGCCTTCTTCCATTCTCTCAGCTGATGCTGTTTCTGTCAAGTTCAACTTGGAAAAGGCAGGTTCCTGGCTGACTTGATCAGGGGAGAGGCTGATTGCTGCCACTGATTGATTTGTAACCAGCTCCTGAGCTTTGGGCTCAGTGCCTAGAGCAGTGGCACCATGCTCACCTGGGCTCACTGTTGCCTGCACAGGTGAGCTAGAGGATTGTGGACAGGTGTCAGGTGACATGTTTGTGCTGGAACCACTGGCAGTAATGTGACTGACAGTGACAGTACTGTGACTGACAGTGGCAGTACATTGAGAAGGTGGGGGTGATGTGGAGGCTACACTCTGAGGTACTGATGTAGCAGCCTCTGTTAGTGGCAGGGCAGAATTTGAGTCACCACTTGGTGGTGAAGCAGATTTTACATCACCAGTTGGTGGTACAGCATTGTTTGTGTCACCACTTGGTTGTGGGGTATTTTTTGTGTCACCTGTTGAAAGTGGTATGCTGGTTATGTCACCAGTAGATGGTAGACAACTGCTTGTGTTATCAGTCAATGGGGTGGTGTTTGTGTCACCAGTGGGTAGGGCAGTCGTGTCACCAGCATCCAATGTCACCACAGTGGTAGCCAGTTGAGTAGGGGAAGATCGTGAAGAGGATGTCACACAGCTGACATTGGATGCCATCTTTATATCTGTGGATGTCACAGCATTTGATGGCTCATTATTTAGTACACCATCACTGGCTGATGCCCCTTTGTTTAGTGCAACATCACTGGCTGATGCCCCTTTGTTCAGAGGAACATCATTGGCTGATGCCCCTTTGTTCAGTGCAACATCATTGGCTGATGCCCCTTTGTTCAGTGCAACATCACTGGCTGAAGTGTTGGCTGGACTCTCTGATACATCACCACCCAAAGCATTCAGCTGTCTTGAGACAGTTGCTTTAGGTCTCTGAGACATGAAAGGTCTGGACCTGCCAGTTGGAGTCCCTGAGGCTTTCCTTTTGGCTTCCTTCTCTGCTGTCCGCTGCAGGTGCTGTTTGAACAAAGAGTCCATGATATTGTCCATCTTGGCAACTCTTTTTTCTGTGCGGGGAGTGCGGGTTAGACCTGAAATAAATTTCAAACAAACATTCACTTTACTTAGCCAACAGAAATAAGATTTCCATGCATAGCTCAAGTGTTAAATAACTATAATTATATATATATATATATATATATATATATATATATATATATATATATATATATATATATATATATATACATCTTTCTGTGCACCAGCAAATACCAAAGTAAATGCAAGTTTGTAAAATGACAAAAAAAAATGTTTAAATCTAGATGCAAAACTTTAGGTGAATTAATTGCAAAAAAAAAAGGGTAACAATGAAATGTACCTGGTGTAGTTCTTGGTGTCAGCTTAGAGTTCATATCTGCTCCAAATTCATCAAAATCAAAAGCACTCACTTCAGGGGCTCTGGGGAAAAAAAGAAAAGTGAGGTCAACATAAGTAAGTACCACAACTTTCAAAGAAGTACAGGTCCCACAAAGCAGTACAGGTCCCACAAAGAAGTACATAATTCCCACAAAACATACTCTAGATTCTCACCTCAGTTTTTCCTCTTTACTATCAGCTTCACGTCTATCAACTCTATCGCTGGACTGGTCCTCCTGAGTTACATTTTTCTCTGGTGCTCGTCGCCCAGGGCACTTCCAAATCAATGGCAGGGGCCCGCCATTAGCCTGTTGTAGCTTCTCAAACACAGCTAAAATATCCGTGGGGTTTGGGTGCCATAGGCCTAAAATATATTTAAAACAACTAGTATTAGCCTGGGGAACAGTTATTACAGGTGTATAAACAAAGTATTCATCTGCCTCTAAATTTTACTTTAAAATCCAACAAGTAGAGCTAAGAATTAAGGAAGATTATATATCAGTCAGCACCAAATGATTTTTATTGGCAAAAAAATGGATTCTAAGTTCTACTGTTGCTGCAACTTTCTAAAAGTAAAATGAAACCAACCACAAGGTAATCATGTTATTTTGGCTCAATTTACCATTTTCTAGAATGAAGTTGAAATTTCCTTTATCAGGCTCATCAGTTTTTAAGCTATCTGTCTTTGGATTCTCCTCCATTGAAATAATTTCCAAAATTTGAAAAATATAGGCTGTAAGTGCAGTATTAATTTCAAAAGTCAGATAAGGAAAAAATATAGATCTAGAGGTCTAGCTAGGCCTTCTGAAATAAAAAAGTTAAAACCTTTATTTAGGCCTAAAAAAATTAGTTATTAACTTATTATTAGTTATGTTATTAGGCCTCTAGATTCTATTTATTATAAAATCTAGATCTAGATCTAGTCTAGACTGCATCTGACTAGTCACTACTTTTAGTTTTAGTCACTAGAATCTAATCTAGATTTAGATATCTATTAAAATTATTATAAATCTATTCTATAGGCCTACTAGATTATATAAATACTAGATCTATGTCTATAGACTATGAGATACATCTACTCTAGAATTCTAGAGATCCTTAGCTTAGCTGCGGCTTAGCAGCTTTTAGATTCTAAATCTAGAATCTAGATCTGTAGATCAGAGTACAATAGATCTAGAATCTAGGATCTAGATTAGATTAGATTAGATCTAGATCTTATTCTAGATTTCTAGATCTAGATCTAGATTTAGAATCTGGATCCAAGACAATCTAACTAACTTAAGTCATCAAGTGTCATTAAGTTCAAGTTGACATGTTAAAAATTTCAGCGCTATTAGTTAGATTAGTATTACGACCTAATAAATTTGAATAGATCTAAAAGGTAAACTCTATAACCGCCAGTTACCAAATATCACCGACAAATCTCAAACTTTTAAACTATTTATAGATTCTAGATTCACATACAATTCTCATTTTTGTTGCATTCGACTGTTTTCGGATTTAGATCTAGCTTTCGTCCCATTTTTTTAGAAGAATTCTCAGATTTAGTGTACTTGCTAAGTGAGTACCTTCTCAATTTATGAAGTTGAAAGCCAACCCATAGACCTTGATCTATATTGATATTCTCATACGTAGTGTTGTAGCAGCAAAGTGAGAATTACTCCCGGTGGCGTAACGAGGTCGGGTGTCACCTAGTGCGGCATTTAATGGTGTCACCCTCCCAGAGGCATAGCGACCCTTCCCGACGCCCGGGGACAAACTTTCAATTTGGCGCGCTCTCTGGATCAACCTTTCAATTTTCGATTTGCACCCCCCCCCCTGAAACTTTCGATTTCGGTTTGCACCCCCCCCCCCCATTTCGGGCACTTCTAACTGACAGATTCGGTTCAAAATTGGCACGTGGGTCAAGACATGAAGACAACACAAAATAACATTAAATTTGACTTAATTGGATGCCTAATTAATTTTTTTATGAATTAATTTTACTTTTGTCCAAATTAGTAGGCTGTCTTATTCAACTATTCCGCATTATCATGTTTATTATAGTAATTTAAATAGTAGTGTATAATTTATTTTCTACTTTTTAGTGCTTTATTACATAAAAGCTTGTTATTAAAACGTTTTTTATGAAATGTTTTTAGTACTTTACATGTTTTTATTTACAACAGATTTACATGACTAAAAACCATTGCGCACCTATTGAACGTGATTACGCGCTTTTGCCGAGATGAAGCGTGTGGATAGAACTGCCTACTAATCTGGTCAAAATGTTAATTAATTAATAAAAAATTATTCAGGCGACCAATTAAGTCAAATTTAATGTCACGATACATTGTCTTCATGTCTTGATCCACGTACCAATTACGAACCGTATCTGTCAGTTAAAAGTGCCTGCAATTTCGCTCGGCCGTTTCGATCTAGACAGATAGACAGACAGAGGAAGTGATTTAAGTAAAAGCTTGTAATGGACGCCAGCGAGAAAAGTCTCAAAGGTATTTGAGAGGTCCATAAATTAATTTAAAAATCATGTACGGTGTAGTTACAATTAATATGGTTATAAAATCCTGCCTGTCTGGTTTTTTTCGGACTTTACTAAAAATTGGATATATTTGATGTTTTTAATATTTTGGTAACTAAATACAAATTAAATAAACCGGGAGTGATCTTCCCTAAACTTTCTCGAATATTCTTATATAAAATAAAAGGGGATGGGAACTCGGGCTATAGACATGATTTTTAATCCATTTTAAATACTTAAAGTTTTAAAAATAGAATAAAATCTTGTAGACAAATTAATTGCACACCAAGTGAACGCCAAATAAAAAAGCGCATAATAGTGCGCAATATTATTAGTACTTTTAAAATTTACATTAGTTTTTTGAGAAATCGGAAGTAGCGTAAAGTACTACTTCCAGTCAACGGAAATTACTCAAAATTTAACAGAAGGTAGAGAATTAGATCTTTTACTTACATGTGAAATTTCATTTATCTATCTGAAATAGTACTCAAGTTATAGGCTTTTGAAAAATTCATAGTAGGAAAAGTACCACTTCCGGTTATCGGAAATCGCTCAAAAGTTGATACGGATCTACGATTTTGATAAAATACTTATATATGAAATTTCATCAACCTAGCTGTAACGGTACTCAAGTTATCGTGTTTACACACGGACAGACAGACAGACAGACAGACAGACAGACAGACAGACAGACAGACACACAGACAGACACACAGACATACGGACAAGATTGCAAAATTATGTTTTTCCGTATCAGTGAGGTGTAAAACGTCGAGATTTGTAAAAATCTCGATTTTTTTTTGCACGATTACAAGACTTTCTCTATACTTCGTATATACGAGAAAGTAAAAAAAAAAAAAGCAAAAACAATTTGCTTTTCACGTGTTATGGCGACATAAACAATGGCATCCTGTTATTCGATAGGCCGGCATAAATTTTATTGTACACATTGTAAGCTAATAAAATAACTATAAAGAAAAGCGTGGGTCACTTTAGTATCTATTGGATACAGTGGCGTAGCGAGATCGGGTGTCACCCGGTGCGGCGCTTAATGGTGTCACCCCCCAAAGGCGCAACGACCCTTCCCGGAGACAAACTTTCAATTTTCGATTTACACCCCGCTCAAACTTTCGATTTGCACCCCCCCCCCCCCTCAAACCTTCGATTTGCACCCCCCCCCCTCAAACTTTCGATTTGTACCCCCCACCTCTTAAAAGGCTATTTAACACTCTAATTAATCACTCTATTAAGTGGAATTATCATTTTTCTCTATATATTTTGCTATTTTTTGCCTTGGTGTCACCCCCTAAATGGTGTCACCCGGTGCGGTCCGCACCCCCCGCACCCCCTCGCTACGCCCCTGATTGGATACCTTTACTAATGTTAAGGACAGTAGCGTACGCAGAGGGGGGGGGGAGCAGGGGGAGCGGCCGCTCCCCCTTTGGCCATTTTCAGCAAAGTTGCGCCTTTTTGGAAACTTTTTAAACTCAAAGTTTTAAACAATGATATTTATTAAAAACATAGTTTTGGTCGGCATAATAATATCTATGTAAATCACAAGATTTCTTTTCATGCAGCATTTAAGCATTAATGTACTAGTCTACTAGTACTAGCAGTGTCTACGTTTACAACACGTATTAACAGCTGCATCAGTTTGCCATTCTAAGAATAACCATTACGATGCATTGCAATGTTTAAAAAACCTCTACGGGTAGTACCACTTGGCAAGAAGGGGGGGGGGGGGTCAGGTTTAAGGCAACTGTATAATATATTTGCTTACGAATAATTGATGAAGTAGTAGTATTCTTACAGTCTGGGCGATAGTGATTACGATTACAAATTATATGAAACAGTTACAGCCCCCCCCCCCCCCTCTCCATGGACCCATCTGTAAAAAAAGTACTGTCATAATACCACTGCTACTTATTTAAATCTATTTCTGTAATATATATTTGTGTAATATATATGTATGTTTTGAACAGTCATCTAAAAACTGACGCTATGTTCACTCTGAGTTGGTTATCTCCCCCCCCCCACACACACACCTCACCACCACAGTTGTGTAGAGCGACATTAATGTCACACCTAGGTATACACTGGGTTGGATAATTGACCTAAAGTGACCGGGCAGTGGTGAATGAAGTTGAACCCACCCCCCTCCCCCCCAACCCACCCCGAACTGATCTGTAGAAAAAACGCGTAATGATGCACCAAAGTACCATGCCGCCAGAAAATTAGCTTTTTAAACGTAAAACTTTGTGAATATTGTTTTTGCAATTATTTTTTTATTCCAGTAAAAAGGTGTGTGATCAATACAGTGATCTAACCCATACCTATCACTATGTTAAAAATGATCTTTAGAGAACACAAAGAAGCAGTAGTTAATTAAAAATATGTGGTCTGAACTAAAAACCGATATATAGCCAATTACAGGCTGTTATTCCGTATGTTTGCTATTATTCCGAAAAGCGTGGTTTTATACCAACTCTGATTTTAAAAACTTTTATTATGCTATAATACTTTAGCATTTATGATGTTGATATATTAAATTCTGATTATAGACAAAAACATTTCGTAAACACGAAAAGTGTTAAATAATTTCATTATATACTAAAGTAATTATTTATTTGTTTTGACATTTATAATTAAATGTGTAGATATATACATATCTATATTAACATAGTGATTATTTCCCCTATTTCACTTGTCTTAAAAAAATATTTCAGGAATTATTATGTAAGAATTTTTTTTTTTACAAGAATTACAAAACAAATTGTGTTACGTTCATTGTTTTTTGTTGTAGCATGTGTATATTTTTTTTTGTTTAGATTGATACAATTTTTGTTTTGTCGGCCTACATAGTGTGTTTTTTCTTATTTCTTCAGAGTGCTACTTTCAATTTATTTGACATCATAGCGAAGTAATGACATACAGCTAGTAATTATATACCAATACACACACACACACACACACACACACACACACACACACATATATATATATATATATATATATATATATATATATATATATATATATATATATATATATATATATATATATGTGATGACGCAAGATTACGTCAGACATGTTTAGCAGATATAGGTTAGCAGAAACAGACTATAGGCCTAGTTGGTTGGTTAGAGAGACCAATGGGCGCACAGGACTGACCGGTCACGTGGGACGGTCAGCTGACCACTGAGGCGTGGGGCAGTAGAGCGATAGGCCAGGAGTTGTTAGGTAGCGGTCAGAGACGGCCGAGGAATGTAGATAGTTAGGTAGATCATGATTAGCTAGCGAGGTAGAAGGTGTTAGATTGTAGAATGTAGAGAACAGTTAGTGTTAGGATTGGTCATGGGAGTGCGTAGTAGTAGGTAGCATGTGGTATGAACAGTCAGTAGTAGAAGTAAATAGTACAGTGTAGATCAGTTAGGTAGAAACTTGAACATATATATCATTTTAATAAAGAACAATTATAGTTGAACTTGAACTGTGTGTTATTGGATTCATTCGTTTCGCATCTTAAAATCCCCACCCTCACAACTGGTGGAGCGCGGGTCGAGGACAGGAAAGACTGTGTATATCGGGTTACTCATGACGGAGTACATCTGGTGTACAGCTTTCTTCAACTCAACACAACAGCGGGTTTCTTCAACCGGAACGAGTGGATTACCAATACAAGGGAACAGTCACCATATTCAAAAAGATAAGTACCTTCCAACATTTTTTTAAACGTTTGGGTTTATACCCGTGCTGGATAGTTTGTACCAGTGGTTTTTCTGCCTTATACATTCTTATGTTACGCCCTGTTGCCTTAGTTTTGTTTACTT